AGTAAATCCATTTCCACAGGCAAGTCTATCTTTCAAATTATTATATTTATCTTATCCTTTAATTATGATATATATATATATAGAATTATCCATGTATATCTTTTATATATATTCTCTTTCTGCTTGCCCTTTACTAAATCTGTTAACTGTATTCTTTGATTTAAAAATACTATATTGAGCCTTACTGAATCGCTATTATTTTTTTCATATGTTGTTTTAGCTGAAAAATCTCCCCAACTTTCTATTAGACTGAATTCCAACAAAGTTTTTTCAAAGAGTTCGACCTCTCAAGAAAATTCCTATGAACTTATTAAGCCCGCCGAATTATCATCAAATATTCCTCATCTTACCCCTTTGCTAGTTTCTGGCTTACATGGAATGGAAGGCAATTTAGTCCAGTCTCTAAATGCCCCTACTCGAACCGAAAAGAAACCTGAACTGAAAAATTATGATTTCGAAGAGTTGGAAAAAAAGGACAGCCTTGAAGATGCTCGGTTTCAGACTTTGCGCGAGATACATTTACAAGACTTTTCCCATCGTATTGATCTGTCAAATAATCAGGCTGCTTTACCTTTTGACTCTTCTAGTAATTTGTGCAAATCCACAATAGTGAATGAAGCCTTATCAACACCTATAAAAATGTCAAGAACAGCTCCTGAGGACGAAACTTTATCTAATATTTCATTGCTACAAAAACAGCTGCATTCTCATCATTCAATTGCACATTTGCCTCTAAACACTTCAGCTGACATTTCAGTGGAACCTGTATACAGCATAGAAACTAAAAAATCATTCCTGCATGATTTAGCCTCGACCTCTACGCATTCTCTAGTCTCTGAAATAAATAGGCCTGCATCATCTGCTCCCTTTTCTATTCTTTCTTTTTTTCCACCTCCATCTACCTCTGATTCCCCAACTTCCTTTGCTTTGCCACCGGAGGGTTCAGACCTTTCTGAAAAAGTTACCATTTCTGTGAATAAGTCTCAATCTCGGAAAAAGAGGTTAATACTACTTTTCTGAAATTTTATTAA